GAGAGAGAGAGAGAAGAGAAGAGAGAAAAGAGGAGAAGAGGAAGATATGATTGAGAGACACGAACAAAAAAACTATTCTGGCTGCCGCCAGTTTAATTATTTATATTAACTTAATATAAAAGGAATGGGAGATTACAAGTATGCCCCCGGTGGCACTCCTTAGTAACAAACTAATAAGAAAGAAAGAAACTAACTGGCTGACAGCATCTTAAGATGACAGCACACTAACAGCAACTGTAAAATAACAATTAAATAATCCTCACAACACAAGTAAAATAGAAATTTTACCTGAATGAAATGGAAAGAAAACATTATAATATGTTCCAAAATTTTGGAGTTAAGTGACCATATAGTAGCCTGTTATAGATTGTGATAAGATTCAAAGAAAATAGAATTAACACTGAAGAAGAAGAAGAAAAGAGAAAAGAGAAGAAAAGCATAGTTAGGAGAAGAAAACTGTCATGTGCGGTGCCCCCACTCCATTAATTTTAATAGTAATGTAATACAAAGCAAGAAAGACATTAACCCGCCCCTAATTATGAATAATAACAAGAGAAAGATTTTCTCTAATTTCCTATACCATTTTGCATCCCTGTCACAGTGCCACTCTTCAACTTCTAAGTGGTCTATCTCCTTTCATAATGATGTAAAGATGAGAAGTACATAGATACAAGCAACTCCCCCTAGCGAAGACTTTTCACTTCCCTTCTTAGCTACTATACTCTTAGCAATCTTCTCCACCAAAGAGTATGTTCATGATAGTACGTCCCAAATCTCCTTAGATGTATCCAGAAACCAAAACTCCAAGCAATATGTAGTTGCACTGATGCTACAAGCCAACAAATCAACATGAGATTCTCCTGCTCCCACCTAGAATGCTTAGGATCAAGACTGGGCTCCTTTACCTCCCAAGTGAAGTAACCCATTTATCCCTACCGCCAATGAGAGTTTAATAGAGCATGCCTACTTTAGGTAGTCAGTACCCTCCAACATAGCAATTGTTATCACTAAATCACTATTGTCCCCAAGACCCATAGACACAAAACCAGGTCTTAGTTTTCTTATCTTCCTAATCCATAGCCATGCTTCAGTCAAGTTTGGATTCCCCCTACTTCACAAAAAGGTGCTCCACACCATACTCCAGAGGTTCCCACTATATTGACTAATATATTTCATTTATATCATGAGACTTGACAAATAACTTGAATGGCTAACTTAATGAGTCCTATTATCCTGACCCCACAACCAATAAATAGAAAACAAGAAAAACACCCTTGTTGGCCAAAAATTAAAATGACAAAAAGGAAGTCCATTTGTTGACAAATTAATTCCTCCATCATCAAAACCTAAGTCCAAAATATTCAAAAAAAAAAAAAGTTTTGGAACAGTTAAAAATACAACTTAAATTCAATTAGGCACATAAGAGAAATATAACAAAAGGGAGTACCAAACTCTCTATCCCACTCCCAAGACCTTCTGCAAGCCCTGAAAGCAAGTCCAAAGAACAAACAATGAACTCTTTATCATATTGAACCCCAGCTGACAAAGGATCAACCTGCAAAGAAAGACCCAATTATAAGGGTTGTTTTCAATAGAGAATTGACAATGCCCAAGTCATAAATGTATAAAAAGAGGTTTCTCTTAACAAGCAACAAATAAACTCCATAAGTCCGTAATAATACTATAAATGATGCCATTAATTGCAAATAAAAGACTAATGATAACAACTTCCAAATTTTTTGTAAGACAGCAAGAAAGAAAGCATCTACATATTTTCCTTCCATTTAGACAGAGAAGAAACAATTTTTTTTTCTTGAAGATAAATAAAGAAGAAAATTTTATTGCTAAAAAAGTGCAAATACAACATAACCAGGTCACAAGAGGTCACCCCAACCAAACAAAATCTGAAGCAAAAAGAGAGACCTAAAAAATTAAGAAACTTCATAGAACAAAAATGAAAGACACCAGCTCTCCTTTTACGAATTCAGAGAACACCAAAAATCAGCACTGAAGTCTTCTTTCTTCAGTCCTTGAAATTCAGGAAGCACCAACACCCAACCAATAGCTGATAACCGCCACAACCACCCACCTAAAGGCTTAAATGCAAAATCAAAGCAGTGGAACAGAGATCATTTTGGAAGAATAGAGGAGAGGAAATTATTGGTAACCACCCAAATTGAACACTTGGGATGCCAAGGAGGGTCAAGGATCAATAAGTGAGGAAGACAAGACCCCAACGTGATTGTTGAAAAATGAATTAGAAGAAATTTTGTTGAGGGAAGAAACCAGTTGGAGGCAGAAATTGAGGAACGTGTGGATCAAAGAGGGGGATGGGAATACTACATTCTTCCAAACACTTGCAAACGGAAGAAGAACAAAAATTTTTGTGGAGAAATTAAGAAGTAAATGGAGAATCTTTGGTTGATCAAGAAGAGATTGCAAATTGTTTTGTGGCTCATTTCAAATCAGTTTTTAAGAGACAAGAGGACATGGGTGCTACTCTAGAAGGACTGGACTGGCCAAGATTGAGCCCAGATTGTGCAAGAGTGTTGGAAAGGGATTTTGATTTGGAGGAGATAAGGGGAGCTGTCTTTTTAATGGATAAATCTAAAACTCCGGGACAGGATGGTTTCACTATGGTTTTTTATCAAGATTGTTGCTAGATAATTAAAGCGGACTTTTGGGCCGTCTTCGAGGAGTTTGTTAGGGAACACTTTATTAGTCTGGTAATATATTCAACTTTCCTAGGCTTGATTCCAAAGAAGGGAGGTGCCAATCAACCGAAAAATTTTAGACCAATTAGCCCGGTAACAAGCATTTATAAAATCTTTGCCAAAGTGTTGTCTTTAAGATTAAAGCAAGTCCTTCCTGGTTTGATAAGACACTCCCAAGGGGTATTCATTAAGGGTAGGCAGATCATAAATAAAGTTTTGATAGCCAATGAATGTGTGGAGGATTTAAAAACAAGGAAAAGAAAGGTTTTGTGTGTAAATTAGACTTGGAGAAAGCTTATGATATGGTTGATTGGTCTTTCCTCTTGGACACTTTGAAAATTTTGGGTTTGGAGAGAGATGGTGTGGCTGGATAAAAGGGTACCTGAAGACGTGTCATTACTCAGTCCTAGTCAATGGAGTGGTCAGAGACTTTTTCCCAGCAACCGAAGGTTTGAGTCAAGGGGATCCTCTTTTTTCTTTCCTATTTACCTTGGTAGCGGAGGTGTTCAGTAAGCTTATCACAAGAGCTGATAGTTTGGAACTTTTTAAAGGCTGGAAGATTGAGACTTGAGAGAGAGAACACAATTGTTACACATTTGTAGTTTGCTAATGATACAATTATCTTTTGTGAGAATGTTGACCCGTAGAAGGCAAGCAATCTGAAGCAAGTGATCAAACTGTTTGATTTCTCTCTAAGTTAAAAATCAATTTTAAAAAGAGTTGTATAATTGGATTGAACTTGGGAGAGGTGAAGATGGTTGGAATTGCAAAATCTTTAGGTTGTCTAACAGAAAGATGGCCTTTGAAATATCTAGGTATGCCTTTAGGAGGCAACCCACGGGAAGGAAGCTTTTGGAGCCCAATTCTAGAAAGATATGCCAAGAAGTTGTCAGCTTGGAAAAAGAATTATGTCTCTAGGGGATCGTATTACTCTGATTAAGTCTACTTTAGCAAATCTTCAAGATTTCTTCTTCTTAGTTTTCAAGATGCCACAAAAGGAGGTGCTAAAACTAGAAAAGATCACAAGGGATTTTTTGTGGAAGCCTGGCGAAGGTAGGAACGATCACCTGGTGAGATGGGATCTAGTTTGTAGATGTAAGGAGCAAGGGGGTTTGGGGTTAGACAACATAGGGAAGAAGAATGAAGCTTCTGGGTAAATGGCTGTGGAGATGACCGTTAGAGAGAGAGAGACTTTGACATAATGTTGCGGGGAGTATTCATGGCTATGCAAGAAATAGTTGGGATGTTGGAGTGTTTCAGCAGGCTACTCTAAACTCTCTGTGGAGGGCTATTCATGGTATTCTTCCTCAATTTCTCAGCCTTATCAGGTATGATGTGTGTATTGGTGATAGGATCCTATTTTGGGAAGACACCTAGATTGGTAATTCCATCCGTAAGGACCTTTACCCTTCTTTGTATTTCATTTCCCATTTTAAAAGCGAACCCATTAAAGATTTTGTTTATTCCTCCCAATCCTCTAGCTTCAGTTGGAATTTGGGCTTTAAAAGAGATCTGAGAGACTCCGAACATGGTCAAGTTTGTTACTCAAAACCCTAGACTCCGTTTGTTTGACTTTTCTAAACCTGATGCTAGAATTTGGACTCCCAATTCTTTGGGCCTTTTTTCTTGTCCCTCTTTTTTCTCTCAGTTGTGCTCAGTTCCTGACCCTCAACCTTTCTTTTGGAAGGAAGTCTGGTCTAAGCCGGTTCCTCCTAAGGTTGGATCCTTTATTGGGAAGCCTCTCTTGGGAAATTAAACACTTTGGATAAGAAAAGGTCAACCTTTACATATCCCCAAGCTGGTGTATCCTTTGCAAAGCAAATGGAGAGAGTTGTTACCATCTTCTAATATCTTGTCCTTTTGTTGTGAATCTTGGGAAAAAAATTTTGGTCTTTTTGGGTGTAGGTGGATGATGCCTCTACAAATCAGGGGGCTTTTCGACCCTACAACTTTCAGGTGGTCTAAGAGAAGAGCTAGAGCATTATGGAGATGTGCAAGGGCTGATTTTGTTTGGACAATTTGGGAGGAAAGAAATTACGGGATTTTTAATGACAAAGAAAGGGATATAACTACTGTTTGGGAATGTCTCCTAATAAGGACCATTAACTAGGCCAAATCTATGGACTTACTCTCAACTTTCTCCTTTGATGATATGTGGAGAAACTGGGAATCTGTTGCAAACTCTTATTCAATTAAGGACAAACCTGTAGCAGACTGGAAGCCCCCAAAAGAAGGCTTTATAAAGCTCAACTTTGATGACAGCACACTTGGAAATCCTGGACCTTCTGGTATTGGGGGGTGTATTCAGGAATAAAGAGGGACAGATTGTCGCCCTGTTCTCTGGCCCAATCGGAGTGGAGGATGCGGTTAGTGCAGAGGTGCAAGTGGCTCTACAGGGAGAACAAATTGCTAAAGAGTTGAACTTTAGGAGGTTGACCATTGAAGGTGACTCTAAAGTGGTAACTGGGTGGCTGAAAGAACCGGAGACAATAGCTTTGTCTTTTAGGGGAGAGATGAGGAGATTCAGGTGGCTTACCTCTAATCTCACTGTGAGAGTTTAGTGGGAGAGGAGGTTGGCAAATAAGCTGGCTAACCTACTAGCTAAGCAAGGGGTGAACAGGGATCACTTTTTCTAGGCTGAATTGTAATTTTACTTTATATGTAAGTGAGAACTAAGAAGATACTGTAATGATATCTAGATCACCTAAAAAACTACCTTCTTAAAAAGCAATTAAAATTATAAAATCATTATTTTTTGTGTGAGAACCAATAATTGAAGACCCTAACATGGATTTGTTTGGGCTTGCTTGGAGGGGCGTGGCACGGGGATCCAAGGGTGGAGCCCCTGGCCCAGCCACTAGGTTCAAAGAAAGCAAAAAAGCGTCCAATTTTCAAATGGTGCAGGCCTGGGCTGAGGCACAAGGCGCATCAGGCACACGCCTAGGCAAACCAAGCCCAAGTGAGGCGCGCCTTTTAAATCACTGAATCCTTCTCTCCCAATCTTGAAACCAGAAATCAGCCCCACTCCACATCACTTCTTCCAAAAAGCCCCACTCCACATGATCGTAAGCTTTCTTCAGATCAATTTGGCAAATAACCTCTTCTTCCCCATTTATAATTTTCGTGTCAATACATTCACTTGCAATCAAGACCCCATCCAGAATTTCTCTTCCTTTTGAGCCAAGGCCACTTGGGTTGGACTCACCACCTCAAATCCTCTCTCCAACCATTCCCTAATCCCATCCTCCACTTTCCCAAACTCCATATCCCCCAGATGACATTTTCGATTAGGTAAAGCTTTGTATAATTTCTCAAAATAATTCCTAATCTTTTCTGCAATATCCTTCTGATCATGAATAATTTTTCAGCCTCCAACCTCAAAATTGTGTTCCTTCTTCTCCCTCTTACCATGGCTTGGAAAAATCTTGTGTTTCAACTTTCAATCTCCTTCTTTGAGACACCGAACCCCCACATTCTGCCTCCATGAGGTTTCCTCAAAATGTGTTAACTTTTCCAAATCCTCTTTCCAACTTGCTTGCTTGAAAAAGATTGTCCTCCAATATGTCCAATCTAGCCATTCTACCCAGAACCAGTGTTTTAAAAGCACCAGGTGCAAAAAAGGCACAAGTGCCATTTTGCACCTAAGGCGCAAGGCACAAGGCGAGGCACGTGCTTTTTTTAGGCAAGGCGCAAAATTAAAAAAAATCAAAAAAATCAAAAAATTATAAAACATAATATTAACAAAAATATAAACTTAAGTTTTAAAATAAATGTTTTAAAAAACCTATTACCTAAAATTATAAAACCCACAATCTCTTTTTTCCCAATTGCATCAAGTAGC